TCTAACATATTCACTTTATTAAGAAATTACCAATCAAAATTATAGGCAGAATTAAAAACTGTTTGATACAAATCAATTTATTGTATCAGAAATTAATAATTTAAAAGTACTTTATAATGTATATATCTATAATAGTGGAAAGAAATGTTACAAATTGAAAATTATTAATTTGATACATCACAGTACTCCAAAAAAAGTATTCATTAAGGGTGTGTTTGGTAGGAAGGAAAATGTTTTCTTGGAAAACAAGTTGATTTTTGACTTATTTTCTCATGTTTGGTTGGTGAGTAGAAAATATTTTCCGAAAAATATTTTTAGTGTTTGATTTATGAATGAAAAATGTTTTTGAAAAATTTCTTTTATTTTTACTAGAGTAGAAAATAATTGTTGAAATTGAAAATATTTTTTAAAAACAAACTTAATTATTTTTTGGGGGTGGGGGCTGGTAGGGGGTGGGTGGGGGTGGGGGGTGGGAGTCGAGGGTAGGGGTGAAAAATTGAAATTTTGAAGTTAAAAATATTTTTTAAAAACAAACTTAACATTTTTTTGGGGGGTGGTAGGGCGTGGGGGGGGGGTCGAGGGTATGGGTGAAAAATTGAAATTTTAAAGTTAAAAATATTTTTTAAAAACAAACTTAAATTATTTTTTTGGGGGGTGGGGGGCTGGTAAGGGTTGGGTGGGTGGGGGGTCGAGGGTAGGGGTGAAAAAAATGAAATTTTGAAGTCGAAAATATTTTTTAAAAACAAACTTAAATTTTTTTTTGGGGGTTGGGGGGCTGGTAGGGGGTGGTTGGGTGGGTCGAGGGTAGGGGTGGAAAAAATGAAATTTTGAAGTCAAAAATATTTTTTAAAAACAAACTTAATTTTTTTTTGGGGGTGGGGGGCTGGTAGGGCCGGGGGGGGGGGTCGAAGGTAGGGGTGAAAAAATGAAATTTTGAAGTCGAAAATATTTTTTAAAAACAAACTTAAAATTTTTTTTGGGGAGTGGGAGGGCTGGGTAGGGGGGTCGAAGGTAAGGGTGAAAAAATGAAATAATATTTTTTAAAAACAAACTTAAATTTTTTTCTTTTTGAAGGGGGTGGGATAGGGGGCTGGGGGAGGGGGCGAGGGTAGGAGGTGGAGGGTGTAAAAAAATAAAAAATTGAAATTAGAAATATCATTTAAAAACAACTTTTAGTATTTTTTTGGGAGGGGTGGTAGTAGGGGGTGGGGTAAAAATATTGAATTTAAAAACAAACTTTTTTTTTTTTTTTGGAGGCTAGTTAGGGGTGGGGGGGTCCTGGTTTGAGGGTAGGGACCAAATAAATTGATTTTTTCAACAATTTTTTTTTTTAATTGGAAGTTGGAAGATAGTTTTGGAAAATGTTTTCCTTAAGTTTTGAAGGGAAGTCATTTTCCTTAAATTTGAGGAAAATGAGTTAATTTGAAAAACATTTAACCCAACCAAACATGAAAAAATTGGAAAACATTTTCCAGAAAATGTTTTCCTTCATACCAAACACACCCTAAGAATCTTTCAGAAAGAAAGTACAAGTTCTTTGATTGTGACGTTCTTGTCCAGAACGTCCACAACAATTCATGTTTGTGGTTAGTTTTTCATCTGGATTTTTCTTCCTTCTTTTCCTTGGCCGTCCTGATATTCTTTTGTACATTTTGATGCGTTTATAATCAAAATCTCTTCAAATATCCTCCCAAATATATTCTTTGTATAAGATGTTATTTCCCGATTTTTGCAGTTTTAAGAACTATATAGAATTCTAGCTTCTTCCAAAAAGTATAATATAATAGGTGTCTTGCCTCAACAAGGCAACCATTGATACATTTCGCGATGTTAGAAGTCATCATTCTCTCCTTGTTCACTATTGCAATTGTACAAGATACATTAAAATTTTTCTATTGTTTAATGTATCATTCCAAAAAAAAATGCAAGATACATTATTACAACTAATCTCAACAGGCCATATTGTCCTCAACTTTTTACATGTTTCAGATACAGAACAACTACATGATACATTTCATACCTATGTACCATAATTACACTTGCATCGTCAATGATACATTAAAAAAATGAAGAAGAATTTTACATGTTTTTGATACTTTAGAATTACCAAACAATGATACACAAATCTAAAAATCTAACACATTTGATGCAAGAATTTTATTTATAAAGTAGTAACTAACAATGTATCATGAACAATATCACGATTTATGTATCGAAAAACCAAAAATACTAATTCACAATATAAAACAACTAATCTCATACCTTTTTTATCAAATCTTTGTATCTTGAAATTGATTCACTTACTCCTCCGTACTATTCTCCCCGACCACTATCCTATCATTCTGGTATCATTCATATCTAAGCTTTAGAAAGTATTTTCGACGAAACAGGGAGAACGTTGAACAACGAGAATGACGAAACAGGGAGAACGACGAAACAGGGAGAATTTTAAAAACAACTAATCTCATACCGTTTTTATCAGATTTTTGTATCTTGAAATTGATTCACTTACTCCACCATACTATTCTCCCCGACCACTATCCTATCATTCCGATATCATTCATATCTAAGCTTTAGAAAGTTTCTTCGACGAAATAGAGAGAATGATGAACAGGGAGAACGACGAAACAGGGAGAACGCCGAAACATGGAGAACGCCGAATCAGGGAGAACGGTGACGTATATGCAGTTTTGATTTTTGAATCGGTTTGTTATGTTAGGATTTAGGTTTCAGTGATTGACAGTAAGAGGAGAACTGAATAGCGTAAATTATGTGATTGTAATTAGATTTTTTCTATATTTTCCCTTTTTAAGCGCAACCGCCGCACAATAATGTATCATAATTAATGTATCTGGACAATTAATTATGTATCTGAATGACTCCTTTTTAAGGGATTTTTGTAAAATAGAAAAGAGAAGGGATATGACATAATTTATATTTTACACTATGAGATTTATGTAAGTTATACTATTATCTTTACATAAACACTTCACTTTAATCTTCTTCTTCTTTTTGGAATGTACGATTTGCCTATGGTATCATTATTTTTCATTTTTATTTTGTAACTTGCTAATTTAAAAGCCTGTTAGTTTTCTGTTGCCCACTCTCATCAGTTTGTCAGTCTCAAAATACCTATCGTCTTTATTAAAAATATTTGTCATTTTTAAAAGCTTAAGTATTCTGAAACAAAAAAGTAATACTTTAGACAATAGTTTCTTTATTACAAAGTCTCATCTGTGTGCTACTTTTACATAAATAAACAACCAAAGATCATATAGTAATTTCTTTGAATACACTCATTTCCTCTATCCTAATCATTTGTTTGACAATAAAAATATGAACACAAGTTAATAATTAATTGAATTGTTCTTCAAAGACTAGACAAAGAATATTATATATTTATAATGGTAACGAAACATAATTTAATATATTGTATTTTACTTTTTAATCATTCAACAACATTTATAAACAAGGGATGGAGATAGTGGCAGAACTCCACCTAATTAACGATGGTCAATTGAAAACATTTTATTAAAAAATTATACATTTGTATACATGAGTCAAATATTATCTTGTATACATAGTATATCTTGATAATTAGAAATTTGCATTGGTTAAAAAAATATAAAGAGAGGTACTCATGAGATAATTACATTAGTGTCATCAAAGATTGTGGTAACTAGAATGGATAGGATCCTTTTCATTTTAATCAAAGATTTCGTGTTCAAATTTTAAAAATAAAAATATCACAATAGAGAATATTTCAATCTTTAATAAGCATTACACAAGGTGAATTTGAACTAATCGGTACGCTAAAACGATAGTAACAAATATGAAAGAGAAAAATAAAGTACAACTTGTACTCTTGAAATGTAGCATCTGGTTCCCTTCTTTTTTTCACTTCTCTCTACTATTTTTATTTATCTATACATTATACTAAATCAATTTAGGTTGAAATGTTTCGTATCAAGAAATTTTATATTTTAGAATACTTAAACTATAGACTTTTGATTAAGAGAAGAAATTTCAACCATCATACATACAATCTATCGTTTTCTTTTGGCCAAATACATCATTGGTCTCTTATAATTGAACCACATTTCACTTAGACATGTCAATTGACCTTTATTTATTACACACTTCAATTTCAGTCAATGCATGTCTATCAATGCGTGTCTCCACCTCTTTTAGACTCATGAATTGATCCGATATAAATATAATAGGCATATCTTAGATATACATTAAATGTTTAATGTTTAGCAGGTTAAATTCAAGTGTCTAAATGAAGAGTGATAACAAATATATAAACAATTCCTTTATATTGCACGACTTTTCATTTAAACACTATTAACTAACTTTTATATATTAGACACTTTAAGTTCAATTAGTCAACATATGTCAATTTAACACAATTGTTCATTTGAAAAAATTGAAATCCTTCTTATTGGACTATCATGACACTTTTCATAAATTGAAATTCTTGATCAATGGAGGAACAATATCACCATTTTTGCTCAATAAAATATATAAACCAACATGGATAAAGAACATACATCTCACCTCTCTCGCGTAAAATTGATTCGATAGATAAGAGTCATATCATAGATATACGTTAAATGTCTAGCCAATAGGTAACAGATTAAGTTGAAGTGTCTAAAAAAAAAGTCTTCAAAAAGTATTAGTCCATTAGTGTGTGTGAGCTTGTCCCTCTCTTGTCCCCTAACTCCTAAGTGTTGAAAGTTGCTACTCTTCCTTCCAACAAGTTTAGCTTGTCTTTGTCCCAAATTTATGTACTTTTTCAAACATATTTTTTTAAAAAATTAATTCTCAAATACCTCTTAACCCTTTAGTTTTTCCCATTATATAACAACAACACACAAACTATTAGCTAACTCACATGATTTTCTTGAACACGAATACAAAGTCAAAAACAAGAAAGTGTTAGAATTTGGGGCTTATTTGTTTGAGGTTTTTATTACCAAGATTCACTTCTTCTTTTTTTGAGGAAAATGGAGAGAGATTTGAATCTTAAGGCATCAACTGAACTTAGATTGGGTTTGCCAGGGAGAGAGGAAGAATTTGATCACCAACAAATTGTGTCCAATTCCAAGAATAACAAAAGAGCTTTGTCTGAATATGAAGATGATGAATCAATTTCACATTATGAAGCCACAACACCCCATGTTACCAAGTAAGTTTGATACTAAGTTTCAATTTATCTGACGTAGTTTGACTCGATAAATATTTAATAAAAATAATTATTTTTAAATTTGTAATTTTAAATATACTGTAATAGTTGTGTGACTATAATAATAGCTAAGGATATGTTGCTCGTCTCCTAAAATATTGTTGCACCCCTATCAGATTTTTCAAGAAAATAAGATTTTAAAAAAAAATTGTAGTTCAATTTATATGGTATAATTTGACTAGATATAAATTTTAACATAAATAAAGTGGAGATTTTTTAAACTTGAGAGCATTTTACACACACATATATATCATGATATATGTGTAACTATAATGGCTCAAGTTAAAGTATCACATCATCCAAAAGTGGATTATTTTTAAAAGATCCGACACGAGTGCGACAATATTTTTGAAAAATCCGGGCAACATGAACCATATTAAAATGGAAAGCTAAATTAAATTTATTTTCAAATTTAAAAATTTATTATTCTTTCAAATAAACTGAAAAGAAAATAGTGCCATATAAAATAAAATAAAAAGGACTATTTTCTTTCAATGTCCTTGAATTTTTTATGGTCTTGAATGAGCAGGGCCAAAATTAGAGAGGAAGCTATAAATTTCGTCGAATTTAATAGCTTTGATCAAAATTCTTTTTTCTTTCTTTAAAAGCCTTATTTAATACATATAAACAACATATTCAGAACCCAATAAGCTATTTTATTAGAATTTGAAATTCGTAAAGTCAAAATTTTGACTCCGTCTTTACGTTGTAGGGTACAAATAGTGGGGTGGCCACCAGTGAGATCTTATAACAGGAAGAACACCTTACAAATTACTTCAAAGAAAACAGAAGTTCATCAAGATCAGTGTGGAATTTTTGTCAAAGTTAGAATGGATGGAGCCCCTTTTCTTAGAAAAATTGATCTTAAAATGTACAAGTGTTACACTCAACTCCTAAAAGCAATGGAGAAAATGTTCAAGCTAAACAAAGGTGAATTTGCACCTACTTATGAAGATAAAGATGGTGATTTGATGCTTGTTGGAGATGTTCCTTGGGAGTAAGTTCTTGAATCTTGATCCCCCCTCCCCACCCTCGACCTCCCACCCTCACAATAATTTTCGTTAAAAATAATTACACAATCAGATCACTTATAAGATAATTATAAATGCATACATATGATTGATAAATCCAATAAGAATAATAATTAATTTGCTACCATAACATGTTATAGTAAAAAAGAAATTACAGTGTCAATGTATATAACTTAAATTTCTATAAGTTACATGGTTACATGTCTAAGGATAGATTATTTTCATGGCTATTGCAGAATGTTCATGTCATCATGCAAGAGACTGAGGATAATGAAAAGATCAGAAGCAAGAGGGTTGGGATCATGTGGACTATGATATATATGTTTATTAAAGAATCCCATACCATTTTTTGAGGATTTTATGAAGATTTCCCTCTTTAGAAGAATCTTGTAATTAATTGTTTTTTTTAAAAAATTATTTTTATCAAACAGAAAAGGAACTTAGTATTTATAGTTACTTTTTTTTTTTGGCTGTGAAACCAATTGTACAAACACACACACAGTTATATATTTTTTCTTTTCAAATCTTGGATATGAAAGTATGGTGTGTTCTCCAATATCCTGCAGTTTCTTCAACAATGATCTTTTTTTTTTCTATTTAAAATTCATTAATCTGATTAATTTAGATTCATTTCATGTATCACTGCATAATCTCTTCAATGATTTTTGGTAGATAAGATATGGAGAGAAGTATTAAAAACACTATAAATTTGGCGCAAATTATTTGTTTCGTTTCTGAGCTATTATTGACTGCCTCAAAAACACCCTTCTACTAGACTAACTAAACTCAAATACATCCCCGATCTGCCATATAACGTAGCAAGTACTGATCTCAAACTCTTGTAGGAACATGGTGTTCTTAATAAAAAAAATAAAGAAAAGTATTGAAAATACCTCTAAACTTGACGAAAATATAGGGATAAATTTCACTTATGTTGCAAGATCGAGGGTGTATTTAAATTTAGTTAGTCAAGTAAAGATATATTAAGATTATCAGTAGTGCAACAATAAAATTAATAATTTGCACCAAAATTTAAGAATATTTTCCATAGTTGGATGCTTTGTCATAATTAAAGTTAAGTGGAAACTTGCAAACCCACCCATGAGGCATGCTACACCAACTAACATTATGCTTTGGAAAATAATACCAAGAATATGAGTTGGCAACTTAAGTAATTAATTAGCTGATTATTGCTTTTAGAAATAATACCAAGAATCACCTAGCTTTTTCTTGATCCAGACATTCAACTGGGTGTACTCAATATATACATATTCACTGGAAAATAGTATCCAAAATATCAATACCCATCTAACAAATTCAAATAATAAAGAATGAAGATGTAATAACATGAAATCAAATGGAAAACTTGAACTAGAAATATAAAAAATAAAATTACCGGAGCTTGAACTCACTGTTAAGTCTTGTTTCTGCCATTGTCGGACGTTGTGGAACTGCTGCATCGCCGAAAAATCATGACTCCAGTCAGATCTGATCTTAATAAGTGACCGAAAGAAGAAGGGTGAATGGGTTGTTTCTGGTGGTTTGCTGGAGAATCTACAAAAATAAGAAAGAAATCGTGAAGGGGAAGAAGGAAGGGGACTGACGGCGTTTTCTTCTTCTTTGCTCCGACTCATCGGAGTTTGGAACTCCTCGCCGGAGCTGCAGCTGGTGTTCGCGAGCTTTGAGCTTGACGGTGGAGCAGTTGGACTCGAAAGAGGTCGTTTGGGTCTGATTGTTGGCTGCTTTCAGACGATTTCACCGGAAAAAGAAATGGGAAAAGGGAAGGGGACGAACGTTGGGGTTTCAGGTGGATGTTTGGAGATGGTTTCTGGTAGAGCTTTGTGGTGTTGGTTGTCTTCTCTGATGAAGTTTTGGGTTTCTGGTGGCTTTGGACAATGGTGGGTGGGGATTGGTATGTTATCGCCGCTGGCAGCAAATAACAAACAAAAGAGAGAGGGGAAGGAAGCTTGGGGTTTTTTGGGTCGGGAGCTTCGCCGAATTTTGGGGTGGTGGTAACCAGAAAATAGTGAAAAGTGAAACCCTTTTTCAATAAAAATCTGAAACCCTAACCTAAAAATATTTTCACCACCCCCAATTTTTTAACCTAACCAAAACTTATATAGGAAATAATTGTTAAATGGGTTCAATTTTTGGGCTTGTGATTGTGGCCCAAAATTATCGATCAAGTAAAATATCTGTATTTGAATGAATTTTTAGATAATGCAAAATATCAATATTAACAAATGTAACAAATAAAATGAATTAAAATAAATATAATGAACGTAACTAATGACATGTAAAAATGCAATTTTAAAATTAACTGATAAAAAACCCTAAATTTTGATAAATAAGGATAATTATCGATAAATTTCTTTAAAATTATACAAAAATATTTTGAACCATTAGATAAATAAAACTTAAAAGTTACGAATTTTAAAAATGTTAAGCCAAAATTGAGTGTCAACAAGCATCGGTGTCTTCCAGCCAGTTATCATTATCATCTTGGATTCTTCTGATATTCAGCTTCCTTCTTTTATCTTTAATGGTAGCATGCAAATAGGTTGTGTTAGCATCTCCTTCATTGAACCATTTAACTCTAGCTTTTTGGCTTGGAATGGAATCTTGAATTTTATCTGGTAAAAATAGCTTTATGCTTGGAGAGTTCACATCTGTTCTTAGGAGAATTTTAAAATATCTGGTAAAAATAGCTTTATGAGGTTCTTAAATAATTCAATCTCAACTTTTTGTGTCATTTGGAAATTGGGATAAGACTCCTGACAGAGAATTAATGAACCAACTATGTACAGTACTCTTGTACCAAAGGCGACTAGTTCGAATTTGAGACCTCTTATTAAGGATGAAATAGTACTTACTTTTCCACCACGATCTTTATTGGTTTGTGCTTGTTATTAATCGTTATCTTGGTAGTATAAAGATATTCAGCGGCGGCGAAGTCAACATTTGAAGTTTATGAATTTAGAATTTTAATATATTTTAATTATTAGATTCTTAGTTAATAATTTTGTATATTCAATAAATTTCTTGAACAAATATAAAATTTTAACTAAAGTTCGATCAAACACTTAATTCATAAACGCAAAGGGTTAGGTTCACCAATATTTTTTAAAAGCAGTACAGTTTGGCTATAAAATGATATGCAACTAATATATGAATTTAACATGTCATCAAGGGACCAAGCGTTTTTGCTTAATTAAGACTAAACTAGAAAGATAAACTCTAGAATTACGTCATTGTAAACTAAAAATATAAGCAATTACTTATCATTTTTCTACCAATTATACCATTGCAAATGTTATGACCTAATAACACATGTTACTTCTTTGTCATTTATATTTTTTATTTATAAAAACACAATAATGCAAGTTCTTAATTACCTAGTATTCTTGATCCGTTTCAATTTATTTATCTTATTTTTATTTTTAATTCATTTCATAGAAGAATCGTTCCTTTTCTGACAATTTATTCTTATTTCTAACTTCCTATACATGAAAATTTTAAAATCACAAGATCAAATTGCATTGTATATTCTACATATATATCTTTAGTTTTTCTTTATTTTTTAAATTTTATGTTAATAAAATCAGATAAATAAATTAAAATGAATGTAATGAAGTGTTTGATTTGTTGTGTTGCAAAATGGAGTCAATTTATAACTTTCATGTATCAGATGCAAAATCAAAATTTAAAGTTTATAGATTTAGAATTTTAATTTTTTAAAGTTAGTGATATCTAAATAGTTCTCATCTGTTCCACTTGAATTCATTTATTTGATTTTTAAAATGTGTTTGTGATGCAAATAATTCCAATTAACTAAGTCATTATTCTTATACAAAAGACTAATGTTTAAATGGTTATGGTGTCAATTCAGTCCATATTAATGATATGAGTCTATTTTGTCCATATTTAATGACTTGGATCACTTATATTTTAATTGGTTAAATATGAGTTTCAAGCTATTTTAAGAGTCTCTACTAATATGGTCAAAATGGGTTAAATATGGATATCCATATTGACTCATAATAGATCACTTAATTTTCACTCCACTCAAAATTCTTAATAATGCTAAAAGATAAAAAAAAATTAATATTAATTTTCAAACTTAATTGAAAAAATAGATTTTTTTTTTTAGTTTTTGGAAAACAAAAAAAATTTAAGGGTAGGTTGGTGGAAAGGGGAGGCGCCTTGGGGTGGGGGGTGCCCGGGGGAGGGGGTAAATTTTTTCTTTTGTGTTTTTGGAAAACAAAAAAAAAAATTAGGGGTCGGTTGGTGGAAGGTGGGGGGGGGGGGGGGGAGGGGGAGGGGGCAAATTTTATTTTTTTTGAAAAAAACAATTTTTATTTTTTTTTGTTTTTGAAAAACAAAAAAAAATTAGGGGTAGGTTGGTGGAAGGTGTGGTCGGGGGCGGGGGGTGAAGGGTGCCCGAGGGAGGGGGTAAACTTTTTTTTGAAAAATCAGATTTTTATTTTATTTTTGGAAAACAAAAAAATTTAGGGGTCGGTTGGTGGAAGGTGGGGGTGCCCGGGGGAGGGGGTAACTTTTTTTTTTTTTTTTGAAAACCAGATTTTTTTAGTTTTTGGAAAATAAAAAAAATTTAGGGGTAGGTTGGTGGAAGGTTAGGGGGGGGGGTTCCAGGGGGAGGGGGTAAAATTTTTATTTATTTTTGAAAAACAGATTTTTTTTTTTTGTTTTTGGAAAACAAAAAAAAATTAGGGGTAGGTTGGTGGAAGGTGGGGGGGGGGGTGGGGGTGCCCGAGGAGGGGGTAATTTATTTTTTTGCTCAATCCATCCAAATCTAATCCAATCCAACCATTTGGCAATTTACTAAGTAGTAGTAGCTCAATTTACTAAGCTGTAACATCCGGCAATTTGAAATAAATATGAAGAAGCTGGAAATTTGAAATAGTCATTTTTGGAAAGAATTTAAAATCTAGAAATTTGGTTAATTATGGTGAAAAAAAAAGTGAGAGTTAAGGTTCTTGAGAGAAAAGGAAAGAAGAGGAGAAAGTGAAGAAGAAGCAAAGTTCGTCAAGATCGTTGTGGTTTTCGTCGGGGGTGATCCCTATTAAGGTATGTGAGATCATAGTGTTGGGTTGGTTCACTCCTCCACACGCCAAACTCGTTTTAATTTCCGAGAAAAGATTTGATTGTGGTTGTTGAAGTCTTGTGATTGTGTTGAAGTTCTTGTTGATTTGGGACATGTTTCTGGTTGTGTTCCGAGTTGAATCTATTGTATATTACGAGTCTTTATGATTCTAAGTGTTTGGGGCTGGAACCTTTGAGGTTAAGGTGGTTTAGAGTTGGAAAAAG